TTGGGATCCCACTAGTAGAGGTAAGGATTTCCGAAGTTCTGATTCGATGTTAACGGTATTCATGATAGCAATGGTCACAGATAGGGGAATGATTAGGGTAAAGATGAAGAGGGACATGCTTATTGAGAGGGCGATTTTTTCAGGCTTAAACATTAAGCTAGCATCCATCTTTACCCCAATAGAGAACAGGAAAAGAACAAGGCCAAAAGTGGATAGTGTTTCTATAATTACATTTCCTCTTTGAGGAAATAAAGTTGCTGCTACATTTGAAGCTTTCCCAAGAACTGATGGCCCTAGAATCACACCACCCTGCATTTCAAATCAGATGAAATTTTAATTTGGATAACTTCATAACTAGGTACAAAAGCATCATTTTGTAATGTAGTCTACTATGTGCTAAAGGCAAGTTCCGCGTGGCACAAGGTACAGATTTCGAGTTTGTGCACAGGGTTTTATGGTCATTTCACACTGGGGTAAACTATTTGTATCTTAAGTATTTGATTCAATTTTGCAAAAATGACCCCCTCCTCTCAAATGGGACCACTAAAACATTAAACGACAGAGAATAGAAACGTCCTTCACATCACCTATTGTTAACTTATTACGCACAAGCCTCATATGATAGCTCACATCTTACAATCTTTTTATGAACATACATCAAATATGACGGAACTTAATCAATAGCCCATTTTTAACCATCTCCTTCAATTCTACGTGAATTAGTGACTAGAGCGTCAAAGGATTCATGTGGTGCATACTAAAATCACACGTACGATAAACATACACATTGATGCATCTTTCAGATGTTGTCGTGGAATCGAAAAGACTTACAAGAATTTGACATACAATGCTGGATTGTCCAAGGGGCCTAAGGCAAATCTCGGCAGCTTTAGAAGTGAGAGATATCAAGATGAGTTGAGCTAAAAGAAGTGGAACGCTTGAACGCAAAGGATTCTTGCCTTCCCACATACCATGAGAATTGACCATTGTAGGGTTATTGCAATACATTGATCTGTTTGCAAACGTTTCCATCTCCATCGTAATCAACAATCATATCACTAGCTAATAATTGTTGCCTTTTCTTTTTGTTGGTTTTTTTTTTTTCTTGAATATATGATTATGTTATGGGAAAATTAGAGAGAAAAAGAAAAGAAAAGTGATAGTTTGTCTTTGTTTTTTTTTTTTTAATGATCAACTTTTTCGGGGAATGAGGTGCATGAGAGATTGAGAGTAAATAGAGGGTGAAGGAACGGACATTCTGTTGAATCAAAAGAGTATGATTTTTAAATTTTAATACATATAATAAAGTGGAGATTTTTGGTTAAATATAAGGAGTAATACGGAGTATTTCATAACACGATATATTTGTTTGATGGATCATGAAAAATTTCTTTTACTTTGGGGGCCTAAATATGTCAAGATTCAAAAAATTATCGTACTGAGGGGGCCTAAATATAAGGCAAATTTATACTTGTGGCTATATGAGAATGGAAAGCGATTAAGAAAAGGTGGGAGAAAATTACTAATTCAACTTGCCCAGTTTATTTAGTTATTATTTCGAAGACCAGTTTTAGTTATTGTATGTGCAAATAAACATCAACTTTTATATATTTTTCCTTTTAAATCCTAACTTTATGTACCATGAACCATAATAATATGAAAATATTATTCTTCTTCTATTTATATTTACTCTTAACACAGTATTACATCTAGGGGTGTTCAAAAATCGGATCGGTCCAGACCGAAAAAATGGACCGGACCGGATCAAACTAACCGGTCCGGTCTCCGGATCGAGAAATTTATATTTTCGGTCTGGTCTCCGGATCGAGAAATTTATTTTTTAGGTCCGGTCCGGTCCAAAACCCTATTAAACGAATCGGTTTTTTGCTTAAAATTTAACATAAAACCTTTAATAAAGATTAAGATTATCCTTAATAAACTTGGAAAATTTTGTCGTATGAGCTTTCTTATACTAAAATACAAAAAAAATACGTTAAATATTGTTTTTCCTTTATTTTTTTTCGAGTTTTCCATAAATTATTTAAATTTATAAAAAAAAATTATACAAATTCTAAAATCGGTCCAAATCGGTCCGTTCCGAGGTTTGGACCGACTTTTTCGGTTCGGTCCGGGTTTAGTCCTAGCTTAATCAGTCCGGTCTTTGGTTCTTAAAATTCAATTTTTTGGTTCGATCCGGTCTTGGACTGATGAACAGCCCTAATTACATCAATGTAATAAGAAATAATGGATCATCAAGGTAGGAATGGGATGATGCTTAGATTAGAAGACCAAGACTTTTAACCGACAAAGTATCCAATAAGCTAACCTACATGCTACGAGATCAACATTTTCGTTAAATTCATATTCTAATGTACTACCTCCATTTTATATTATTTGCTACGATTTGATATAAAATATGTGGAAAAAAATATATAAATGTCTCATCATATCAAATAATTTGAAACGGAGGTAGTAATATACTCTGTAATTTTTAATTTTTTTTTGAGAAAGGTTGATAAGGTGGAAGAACTGTAAGACAAACTACTACACATTACTATTAAACCAAATTAAATGCAGCGCAGCCTCTCCTGCAATTTGGTGAGTCCGATGAACACGCTGCATGTCTGCCTTATAAATACTACATCGATGAAAAGTGGACCCTAGGAATTTAATCTGTCGAATCAGCCAAAGTAAATTGATGTCCCTACGGCCGTCACCCCTTAGGAGAGTAACCAGATTATAAGAATCAGTGAACACAAGTGACGACGGGATGTTAGCATTTGAAGCCCGTTGTAAGCCGTACAAACAAGCCAAAGCTTCGGCGTGCAAAGATGAAGTGCAGAATCCATAATTAATTACTCCTCCTATTAATCCGATCATCTAGAGGATATGTATTGTCAAGACACCAACCCATTCCTGCTCTTCGTGTGCCTTTGAACCACGAACCATCAATCTGTATCTTCACCGAGTCCAGGCCTGTATGAGTGATCCGTAAATGTGCCACATAAAACTTAGGTGGGGGTAAACCAGCGAAATTAACAGGAGAGGGAGAAACCTCCAAAGTTGACTCCTCATCCAAGAAGATAGAATGAGTATGTAGGATATCCAAAATTTACAAAGCGATTGGCTTAACTGAATCAGGAGAGAAAACCCTATTATTCCTAAATAACCAAAGCTCCCAAAGAGTACCTTGAAGGTGCTAATATGGGGACTCAAAATCCTATCTATACTAATTAAAAGTCGGATAAAGAATTGGATCCAATCTGAGAGAGAAAGGACTTCATGTAATTCTGAGTGAATGCCTAAACTTCCACCCCGCCACTCTGTAATTTCTTTAAGCTTATGTTTAAAAGCAAGTACAGTAATAAGAATTAAGAAATCACTTTTGGGACTACCAGAAAAAAAGGAAAAAAAATAGAGAGAAAAGAAAAGAAAGTAGCACAATTATTTAAATGGGGCGTGAGTCATTAAAAGCAGTAAAAATGAAATGTGTCATCTCTGAGATGGATGAGGTTATGGATTAGAACAAAGTTAGAATGACGTGTTACTCATTAATCAAGTACTGTAATACATTAATAATACTCCGTAGCATTCAGCCCTTTTGTTTCTTCGCACGTGTCGGCTGCTCCCTAACTAAAGGTCACTAACTCATCGCCCACTGCTTTTTAGTTTTTACGGAACTTTCCTTTTTTTGATTGCTTAATTCAACAGGCTTTATACACTTTTCTCCTCTTCTGTATTCCGTTATCTCATCCTTTCATGAGTATAGGGTAACAGTTTGACATACACACTTATAAATGTATTAGTTGGCTATAAATATACTTCGTATATAATCATGTTATGCGGATTATATTAATAAAGTTAAAAAATACAGTATAAATTTTGATACAACTATATATTTAACAACATATTACACAATAATATTTGAATTATATTGTATATAATTGTAAGAAATTTTCATTTTACAATGAGTCTGATTTAACACTCAATAAAATAAACACCTTTTCCAATAATCTTTTTCCTAAGATTAAGATATCCAAATCATAATCGATTTTGTATTTTTCAAACTAGACATGATTAAATTGAGCAGTCTAAAGGATGTTTTGTATTTAATTGATTTTTTCTTATAAAACTTATGAAACATTTAAATGTATTAGGATTTAATTTTTTAAACCTTAACCTGAACCTTAATAACTTTCATTTGAACTAAGTTTAATTATTTTATTTTATTTTTTTTATGAAAAAGATGAAAAAAAGATTAACAAAACAACATCCAATTATAGGAAGAACGCACTCGTACAATCTCCTTAAAATTAAGGAAGTGTTTAATTCATGAAGTATAAGCACACTATAACTTTCATCCAAATCATAACCATTATGTACTTATTCATTTATTTTAATCAGGCAAAAGCTAACGAACGTCCTAGAGGCGTTGGATAAGATAATTAAAAGTAGAAATATAACTTAAAATTAACATTAATTACACCAATCACGCGTGATTTTGACATGCATTCTCAAATTAATACTGTATTTGAAAATATTTTAAAGGATTATCCAACGCCCCGACGCATTTGTTAGCAAGAACCTTTTAGTTAAGGAAAATGCTATACATAACCCTTAAGGCTACATATAAGCATTAAATACATACTAGAAAGTCGTATAAAGTTAGATAATCATAAAAATATAAACACTAATTACATTGATTTACGCGTGTTTTTATCATAAATTTTCAAAAGTATATTTAATACTTATATATAGCATTACCCTTTAATTAATGGTAAATCAAACAAGATTCTTGTTGACTATGATGACTCATACATGTAACATTTAAGATTTCTCATTTAGGTAAAATAAAATAAAAAAATCCGTACTACTCTGGTTTTATCCACCGACCCACAAGTTTCCCATTTCCTTCCTCCATATCCAAAATCAAGTGTCATTTCTGTAATTCTTCCAAACTCCAATACCTTTTCTTACACTCTCCTATAAATACCCATTTCACTATTCCATCACCTAACATTATCCATTATTACACCCAAAATTCATTTCTCAAATCCTATCCAAAAAAATATCACCAACCTCAAAAAATATCTTTTAACAACAAACAATGGATGTTCTTCATCCTCAATCACCTCCAAGATCGTTAGCATCATCCAGATTGAATCCTAACGCTCCGATCTTCGTCCCGATGAAATCGTATCAGACGGTCGAGGATTTCTCCGATCAGTGGTGGGATCTTGTTCACTCTTCTCCCTTTTTCCGAGATTACTGGCTTCAAGATTGCTTTGATGATGTCGTTGATGATTTTGATCTTTCTGATTTCGATGACGCCTTTGAAGAACTTCATCCTCCTAAACGTAACGTTTTTCTCTTTTTTATTCGATTTTTTTAATTCGGTTTTGATATATGCAGCCGTAAGAGCTAACTATAAGCACTAAATAACACTCGGTTTAAAATTTATGACAAAATGTGTTAATGGGTCGGTCAGTCATCTCATTAGGTAAGGTGTAACTTATAAATAATTAATAAAATATTAAAAATCACGTGTCGATCGGTGTAATTAATGTTTTATTTGTGATTTTTCAGCGGAGGAGAAGGTAGCGGTGGTGGCGGCGGAGGAGAAGAGAGAGAAGGAGCTGATATCAATGGCGGCGTTGAAGTGGATTGGATCGAATGGAAAACCGGTGGAAGCGCCGAAATATTGCGAGAAAGCGCCGAAGGTTGTGAAGAGTGTGAAAGTGAATCCAAGGACGATTCATCAGCCGCGTTAGAGTGATTGACGATAGACGAAGAGTAGGAGAGCTTTAATTTGTTCTGTTTAATTTTCTGGTTTTTGTATAGAGGAAACTATCTTTGATTTAGTTTACCTGACTTTGATTTCGCAGTTGTTTATTTGGTTGATTAGAGTAAAGTTGTTTTGATTTGATCTAGATTCTGGTGAAAGTCTTTGTATTTTGTAATTATGCTGTTGTTTCATTGATCAAAATGAATGAAGAAATGAAAGGTTTAGAGTTCAAGCTTTAGTTTGTCAGATCAATGATCAAATGTTGTGTTCGAAAACCCGACCCCTAAACGGCTAAACCAATCCTGTGTTGTGTCTTCACTATTTCAGTCGTAAGGCTCACTAAATTAACCATTTTAGACTTGTTGGGCTTGTGTTTATCTAACGAAATGAACACAAAATGTTACGAAGTAGTAGTTAGAATATTTTATGGGTCCAAATTAAGTTAATGGCTAGTAATAAGTATAGAGTTATTTAAACTAGTAATGAAACAACTTTGAGTTATTACGTAATGATATAATGAAAATCGACAACAACATACTTCCCACAAAACAAGAGATTGACAAAACTAAGCTCCCACTATTAATTACTCGTAGTAGTCAAGGATTAGGTAAGTAAACTAAATTTCAATTATTTTTTTATAATGGGTATTTAATACGAAAAAATACAAGTTAATATCCTATATTAACAACTTTTGCTTATATAAGGACACGTTGGTTTTTTTACACTATTTAACAGGGGTAGTGGAGTAAATTCAGTTACAAGAAAATTAACAATTGAATGAAATCCACAGATCAAATCAGTTTCTTCGTTAGCTCCGTCAAACCTAACATCCCCATATCAGTTTATCACTCCTTCACCACTTAAAATTAAAACCTTCAATGGTCAGCTACAATGGAAATATCGAAGATGAGGACAAATCCCTACCCTTTGGGGTTAACCATACCCTTTGTTTCACCATTTATTCTTAGGGTTTTTGTTAAAGCCGCCGGAAATATGGTGGCGGTGGATATGGTTGAGCATCTTCAATGGCGGACGAAAGGTTGAGCATCTTTAATGGAGGATGAAAGCTTGAGAAGATGAAAGCTCATATATTCAGTTAACGTTTGCAAAAGAAAGTAAATGGCGTGAATGAATACTTTAATATTTTTTGGCATTTTTTGCTCATCCACGTCAAATTCTAGATGATATTAACATTGGCTTGTTTATGGGATTTGTTAAATATCGCCCGCAAATTACCATATAAAGCCCACAAATATGACATGGTGTGATCATTATGCCTATTTTTTAAAATTGAACAAATCTCGGTTTAAAAAATGTGGAGCCGTACTGGCTCGCCAGGGGAGACCGGAGGGCAGGCCGGAGATGCGGGGGACGCCGGAGGTACGTCGTCGTTGACGGAAAACGAGGTAAGTCACCGTTAAAATTCACGTTTAACCGTAGGAGTGGCTCCGGCGCCTAGGATGGACGCCCTAACCGTAGCCTGGACGTCCAAGCCAGACGCCATAACCACCACAGTGGCGTCCAGCCCAGACGCCCAGACCACCAGACTGGCGTCCTGGCCAGGCGCCACTCTACTGGCTGAGGCGGCCGTTCCAGGCGCCAGTCCAGTGGCTGTGGCGGCCCTGGCAGACGCCACCTTATATTTTTTTTTTCTTTTTTGATTTTGTTGTTTTTTTTTAATTTTTTTTTTTAAAATCGAAAATGATTTTTTTTTAAAATTCGAAATGGGTTTTTTTAAAATTAATTTTGAAAATTCGAAATAGGTTTTTTTAAAATTAAGTTTGAAAATTCGAAATGGTATTTTTTTAATTTTAGTTTGAAAATTCGAATTGGGTTTTTTTAAAAATTAAGTTTGATTGTTGAGAAAGGTTTTTTTTCTAAAATTAAGTTTGACAATTCGAAATTGTATTAAAAAAAAATTGGAAATTTTTTATGTGACTTTTATAAATGATTGTGTTTAAAATTTGTATGTGTATGTGTATGAATAATATTATACATAATTATGTTTTTTTTTTGTTAATTCTGTGTAAATATAGAAATTAAATGTATTATCCGTTAAATGTATTTATTATAATATATAATTGATGCAGGATTATGGTGGTGACGGAAATGATTACAGTGGGATATTTGGACATGATGGTCCATTCGAAGAAGCTCAACAGGCGATTGATTGGGCAAAACAGGTTGCAATTGCAGCTGGATTTTGCTTGGTAGTAGTAACTCATAAATCTCAACGGGATGGTAAAATGGATCGCATTTTGAGATGTGACCGTTATCGCAAAAGAGAAGAAAGAGATTTTCGTACAGCCACTCGGTTTGATACAAAGCGGAAAGTTTGTGGGTGTGAGTTCAGAGTAAAGGTCCGACAACTACGGAGTCGTGACGGTTGGGAAGTGATTGGTTACTCTAAATGGGGGTATCACAACCATGAGATGATAGTATATGAAGAGGGTCATCGACAGCTGAGCGGCTTAAGTCCTGCTGCGAAACTAGTTGTGAAAGAAATGAGTGATGCTCAAGTCAAGCCTGCTAAAATATTAGCATCTGTGTTAGAGAAATTTCCAGAAGACCATCCAAACGGAAGACACATCTACAACGTCAGACAGCAACTCAGGTTTGAACGGTCAGAGGGAAGGAACCCTATACAGCAGCTGCTACACCAGGCACAATCACGTGGTTACCTGTTCTGGTTTGATTCTGATGAAGATACAGCGGAGGTGACTCATCTTTTCCTTGTGCATCCTGATTGTGCTGATATGATCAAGTCTTGGCCATTTGTGATTTTGATCGACTCAACGTACAAGACAAACAAGTACAAGTTCCCACTGGTTGAGATCATGGGGATGACTCCAATGAACCAGAACTTTCTGATTGGTCATGCAATCATCAAGGATGAGACGGCTCCAAGTTATTATTGGGTCTTGGAGAAGCTGAGAAACTACATCGGGCCTAATGTTCATCCAGCAGCCATCGTCAGCGACTGTGAGGGAGGTCTCTTTGCCCCCATAGCAGAGCTGTTTCCAGAATCGAACCACTTATTGTGCACATGGCACATCAACAACTGCGTGAAAGTGAAAGCCTACAACCTTTTCAACAAGAATTTGGAAATGGCAGAGAGATTGGTGAATGGTAAGTGGCGGAAGATCCTACAGGCTACCACAGAGGAAGCGTACGAGCGAGAATTGGCTAACTTCAGGGATTCGTACCAGTGGTGTCCGGCACTGGTGGACTATGTGATGCAGCAATGGGTCCCTCACAGGGAAAAGTTTGTCAAATATTGGACAAACTAGGTACTTCATTTCGGGAACACTACAACATGTAGAGTTGAGAGCGCTCATAGAGCTACCAAGGATTGGATTGATTCATCGACCGTTGCTTTGGATACACTGTTCGATAGACTTAACAAGTCAATTGAAACTCAGAAGAACGGCATCAGGAACTCTCTAGAGGACTCCAGACGACGACATGGTACGATGTATAGCCATTTCATATTTAAGATTCTCCATGGTCGTGTGTCGCACTACTGCTTGGGGTTGATTCTCACTGAGCTGAACAGGATGAGGGACTTGGCTGACGAAGTGTATGCTCGGCGTGGGTGTGCTATTTTAGTAACTCATGGATTACCTTGCGCATGCACCATTCACCGCGTTATTACAGAAGAAAGGGCGTCGTTACATGTTGATCAGGTCCATTCATTCTGGCGGACGCTCGTTATTGGTGAGCATGCAGATACTCAAACGGCCGACCGTGAACAGGAGGAGTTGGAGCAGTTTCGTTCGATGTACGACCGAGTGTCCTCCAGCCATCCTTCTATTATTCGTGACGCTACTCATGTACTTCATGACATGTTCCACACGTCTACCTTAGATTTTGAGAAACCCGAAGGAGTTGACCGTCCTCGAGGTCGCCAACGGCGGAACAGGAGTGCGTTTGAGTATATCCGTGGTCTTGGTCGTGGTCGTGCTCGTGGTTGGACTTCGTCATCTAGTCGTAGTCAATCTTCATCGTCTGTGAATATGCCCTTGAGAACTGGTACGTTTTGGTTTTTTACATTACACATTGTTTATAAGGTTACTCCTGCCTTCTTAACTGTGTTTAATTATATGGTGAATAGGAAGAAACGATGTTGATCAGTTTCCGTACAAGGACAGGATACCTGCGATCATCATGCCGTACTTGGAAGGGTGGAATGATGTAGTCGGAGATGGTAACTGTTTCGGGGTTTTTTTATGTGTCCTGCGGGAGAGTTACAATTCCAAGAATGCCCTTCGACGCCTGTGCCTGCAAAATCACGAAGACTCCTGGGGGTAGGAGCTCCGCCTCCGACGATCAAGTTAGTAAAGATACGGGAGGTAGAATGCACGTAATGTAGAAGTTACTTCTCGCGTAATGGGAGAATTCTGCAATTAATATTACTCGGGGTAAGTGTTTTTCTTTTTGAGGAGTATTCAATGTGAACAACAAATGTTCCAGCCTCCCATTAATGAGGGTCCTTCCACTATTTATAGTGGGGAAGGGATGGTTTCCCTTTTAGGGTTTAGAGGACACGTGTCAGCAGAGGATTGGAGCCCTGCTGACCAACGGCTGGATGCCACGTGTCACTAGGCCATTGGGCCACGTGTTTAGGGTATTTTTACCCCAAACATTTGCCCCTCACTGGTGCTGACGTGGCAGGGTGCCACGTGGCGCCGTTGAAAGGTTTTTTTTTTTTTTTTTTTTTTACAACTCTTCAGATTCTTTTTGAAGGATGGAAAAGCAGAAGGCGAAGAGTCACAACTTTTCACCTTCTGGGACAAATTCTATAAATAGGAGAAGATGTCCCCCGAGCTCTCATTTACAAACTTTGCCAAATTTCTGAAAATTTGAGAGCAGCCGGCAATTTGAGAGTTGAGAGCATTCGGAGTTGAGATTCGTTGAGAGCAACCGGTCTACAGACCGTCTGGGTCGTTGCAAGCTAGCCAAAGGTTTTCGAGAGGGTAATCAGAGAAACCCAGTCGGATTTTGAACCGCCTGCGTCTTCGCAAGCATCCCAAAGAATTTCCAGATTTTCTTCTAGGTACCGTCTCTATTCTTTCTAGCTTTTTCATGTATTTCCGTTTGTCTTTTACTCGCATTTTTGTTCATTGGTCCCATAAGTAGATGGACCCCTTATACCCATACCCGGAACCTAGCTGTGAACTCAGCCGGTTTATTAGTACGGCTGAGTCTAGAACTGGGTCTGCCGCCTCTGTTCTTTGG